GGTTGATGCTCTCCATGAAGCTGTAATGATATCCACTGTTCGTCTGCTTAGTCCCCAATTCTCAAAATGTTGCCGCATAACCTGCAACATAAGAGGTCAATATTAGCATTAAGAGGGTGGGTGGTGTTTAACACAGGAAGGAGTAGCAAATCTTCTTGCCTCTGGATAAACAGTGGCTCTCCTTCCATCATGCTAACCAACTGAGGGAACCACGCCTGAGTAGGCCAATTAGGGACCAGAAGTAACCCTCTAGCTTTATCCTCTCTGATTTTTTGCAAGCATTTGGGGATCATACAGAACGGTGGGAATGCATAGAATGCAAAAGGTTTCCAATCTAGCGTAAATGCGTCAACTGCAAAAGCCCCAGGGTCTGGGTGCCAAGTGACATATTTCTCTACTTGAGCATTTAGTCTCGAGGCGAACAGGTCTATTTCTGGTACACCAAAGTGGGAAACTATTCTATCGAACACTTGTCTGTTTAGTTTCCATTCTGTTCGATCATTAAATTTCCTGGATCTTTCATCTGCTATAGTATTGAGCCGACCAGGTACATGGGCTGCGGAGACCCAAATATTTCGAGAAATGCACCACTGCCAAATTTCTCTCGTCATCTTGTCACACATTGCGGACTTGCAGCCTCCCATGTGATTTAAATAAGCCACTGCAGTGGTATTATCTATTCTTACCATCACATGAACGTTACGCTTATTCATGCAAAAGGATTTTATCCCCAACCCAGCGGCTAGGGTTTCCAGGAAATTTATTTCATTGTTTCGTGCCCTTTCTGCCTCAAATTCATTCCAACGACCCCCTGTTTGCTTCTGGAGGTCAGTAGCTCCCCATCCAAGGCCACTGGCATCTGTGTGCAATTCTAAGTCAGGTTTTTTCCTAACAATTGGGGAGGAGGCCATAGAAACATTGTTTATCCACCACTTTAACTCCTCTTTTGCCTCAAGGGACAACTTCATCTTTCTATCAAAATGACCCTTGTTTTGTCTGAGGGCTGCAATTTTGTCCCTTTCCATTGATCTATAGTATAAGGGGCCATACTCAACCGCAGGGAAAGTTGCTATGACCTTCCCAATCACTCGTGCTACCATTCGTATTGATGGGAGGTACGTGCCCATTAATTCACGGCATAAATCTTTCACTTCTTGTGCCTTTGTTTGAGGCAATTTAACAATCATACTCTCAGTGTTAAGAATGAAGCCAAGAAAGGCTAGTTCACGTGTTGGGATGAGCACTGATTTTTTAGTGTGAATGAGGAATCCTAATTCTGAGAGGATCTTGGTTGTTGCACTCACACTCTCTTTCAGCTTTTCTTTTGTTTCACCAATAATTATGGTGTCGTCCAAATATCCTATGACTGTATGACCTGCTTGTCGCAGTTCGGCAAAGACTGGCTTCAGCAATTTTGTGAACAGTCTGGGGGCTGTGCTGAGCCCATTAGGTAAGGCTGCAAATTGCCAGCGCTCACCCTGCCACATGAACCTCAAGTATTTTCTACTATTTGGGTCTACTGGAATGGAGTAATAAGCATCTTGGAGGTCGATTGATGCAAGATAACAGTGCGGAGAAATCAAGTGCTTGGCAGTGTGGATGTTATCCATCTTAAAGTGTTGTACATTCAGACTTTGATTAAGCTCTGATAAGTCTAAGATCATACGAGTACCCCCATCTTTCTTGGGTCTCGTGAAGATGTTTGAGAGGAATTCTCCCTCTTCAAATGAGCAAGGTTCTATTACGTTTTTTGCTTGTAGAGCCAAGATTTCTTTAGTAATCTGATTTATTTCTAAAGGGCTCTTTTTGTAACCGTAGAGGGGCTTATTTCTTGAGGGAACCCCTTTCGAATAATCAAATTCGATCTCATAGCCTCGCACTGCCGATAGCAGAAATAGATCTGACGTTAATTCACGCCATCTACGATAGAAATATATCAATCGACCTCCAACAGGCACATTTGAGATGCATTCTTGTTGTAATGTACATGAAGTAGAAGGAGCATTAACATTCTCACAATATTCATATGTGCTACTTACCTCTTTGGGTAATGGTGTAGCTATTTCCTCCTTGCTGCCTGTGGCCGCTGGAAGGATTGGGTCTGTTTTCCCATGCTCATCGTCTGGGTGTGAGGCGGAGCTCTGTATGGTCTGCCTCGTTGGGTTCGCTGGCCTAAAAAAGGCGTGTTGTAGTTCCCACTTGCGGGCCTGCTACTTGGAAAAGTTTGTGATGTGCCGGTGGCACGGTTCCATCCTTGTCTGCGGTATTGAAAAGTGCTGGACGCTTGCGTCCTGTACGGATGGTACTGGGGGCGGGGTGTACGTTGTCCACGCACCACGCCAGATGCAGCTTTTTGTTGTTCTGTAAGATCTTTGACTCTCTTTGTTAAGTCATCGCCAAATAAGTACTGACTCACTGGTGTGGCAGGTTTGCAAAGATGTGAGTACTTGGCATTTAAGTCTGGCTTAATCTGATCTTTGCGTAAGCAGTTGATTTCAAAGTTTGTGTTACACAGTAATGCCAATGCATCCTGTTGTGTCTCAGATAGGCTATCGGGGGACAGAGTTTGAATAAAAGCTGTGAGTCCCCTTGTCAAAGGCTTTTGGATTCTTTGCAGTTTCAAATCACGGCTTCTCGTTTGCGAGGATAGGTTTTCCCATATTGCTGCATTCACTTTGGGGCAACACAGTGGAGTACAATTGCTTGGAGGAGGGTATTTCCCTCCAGCTTCCTCCAACACATTTTCCTCTAGCTGGTGGGACATGAGGTACATGGCAGACTTTGCTAAATCATCGTGGATCGCGCCACCAACCCCAGTAGGGATAGCAAATTTCTGAGCCAGGGCAGGAACTTTGTCCTCATTCTCCTGGTCTAAACCTGGTGCAACAGTTTCGTTGACATCACCCTCATCCATGCTGCCAATGTCATATGACGTAGGGCATTGGCCCATGTTTCCAGTGTCAATATGCTCAAATCATCATCATCATGTTCAACTTCACGAAATCTCACGTTCGTCGCAGCTGTATATGCTGTCGGTGGTGTATCCCCTGTGGGGCGAGTTGCAGATTGACAAGGCAAAAAATCCACCATTCTCTCCATTAAGGATTCCAATTTGTCAAGTCTTCCTCGTAAATCCGTGAAGTCCTCCTTTTCTTCAGGCTTTTTGCCCTTCTTTTTAGGCCCAGAGTTCTTAGACTCATTCGAGGCAGGCTTTGCCAAGACACTTTTGCGTTTCGTATCGGAGGATTTCACTGCCGATGAGCGCTTTGGCTCAGGCTTCGTAGAGGGGCCTGCGGCGGTTTCGCCCGGGGAAGTTCCGGCTTTAGCCGTGCTCAGCGTTTCGCTGGTTTTCTGCTTGGTGCTGCCTGACGGAGACGCCATCGTGTACGTGGAAATCGGAACAAAACTTCGATTTTTGATATAAAAACAGCACAGATTCTCAAAAGTCTTCCAAAAACATGAAAAAGGAGAGTTTCTCTCCCTAATGAAGAATTTTTTCGAAACCGGTGGTCCGAAAAAACGCCGAAAATTAGGTATTTTGACTGCTGAGGGAAAGTTACTTTCCCTGTAAAAATCAATTGCGCGGCGAATTGACTGCGCATGCGCTTGGCGGGATCTCATGTAATTTCGAACGACGAAATATGAAATAAAATTATAGTATATTCATCAATTCCTCCAGCTTAGTATTATTTTCTTTGCTATTAAACACATTCATACCTTAAAACCAATCTTAGCATTTTTAGCAACAACTTGAATTGAAAAAACAAAGCATGCAGGTAAATAACAACCATTGTATGAATGATGATGATAAAGATGATGGTGATGCTTGTTGAACACAGCTGTCAGTGTTGACCTGATCATTGCTCCTGTGATATTTACTCTGCGTTTTACCCATGCAATGTATGTTGTCAAAGATTTGGGGTTAACTGTTAAGGCTAGGGTTACAATTTGGTTTTGGGTCAGGCGTTAGGGTAAAGGTATAACATACCTGCCAACCCTCCCGAATAATCCGGAATATCCTGTTTTTCTGGATTTTTAGGACCCCAAAATCCTGAATCTCCCGGATTTTCAAAATTTCGATTTTTTTTTTTTTTTTTTTTTTTTTTTTTTTTTTTTGTTGTTGTTGTTGTTGTTGTTGTTGCTTAAGCCAAATTAAGCTTGTTTTATCATATGCCGCGATGTGAGAGTTCCCATATTGCGTGCGTTGAAGGGCTGCATGATTGAGCAGCGAATTCGTATTCGCTTTTTTGCACAGATTTACCGCGTATTGCCAGTTACACTGCCGCTGCATGTGCGAACGCCTGTTAAGGGTACAGATTTCTTATTTTCAAAGACATGCCGTGCTAAAAATTCTTAATTCTCATATTCAAATGTTGGCAGGTATGGTATACAGCTGTAGTTACGATCCAGAGTTAGAGTCTGGTAATTTGTTAGCTACCAAAGCATGTACATGTATCATACAACCCTGGCCACTTCACCCATGGCTCTTCCACTTTATACAGTCAAACATGCTTTTGTAACCGCTTGTATAGAAATGCCACATCTCTATAAAGACCACATATTTTGTTTCCCTTGAAAGTGGTTTCTCATCGAAACATACAGGAACCTGTACATAAAGACCACCTGCCTATAAAGACCACTCTTGTTTCCCTTTAGTGGTCTTTATATACAGGTTTCATGGTATCTCACATTTTCTATGTCTCTTGGATCTCTCAATCTCCCCCCCCCCCCTTTGACAGATAAACTCTCAGTCTCACAGACCTTTAACATGTTAAGCAATTTGATGTTATGTTTTTCCTGTAGTTATTTTTGATCTTTTCTTACAATGTATAATATGTTACGTGTGTACTCGTTAATGGGTCATTTTTAATAAGCCAATTAGTGCTTCTCATGATCCCGCCACTACTATTCATATGTATTTGTTGTTGATTTGTAAATTGAATGAAAGTGGGAAAAAATGAATTGAATCAACTAATAATTTCCTCTCTTTCTTTTTGTAGAAGTCACCAAGTAAAATCTGGTCAGCGAGTGCCATTTCATTCCTCCTGGAGACATTAGTAGAGAAGACTTGTGTGGCTCATATCAGGGTAAGCAATTAAACCATCCACACCTACAGTATCAGCATGACCACAAAGACTTTTAACAAAATTCAACCCAAGACAATTTCAATAGCCTTGGGGATCATGTTTTGAAATGTGTGGACAAAGAATAGGCCTGTCTTCATCAGCTTCAGTTTGCCAAATAACCTGCTATTTCATACTCAGGATATTATCCCAAAGCTTGAAATTGCGTCTTTACCAGAGCGTTACTTTCGTCAAAAACTTGCTTGGATGGGCGTAAATTCCCAAACAGCGGGATATTTTGGAAACAAGACCAAGATTTCTAGGGATCTTTTCTCAACCAGTTACCCCGCTAATTGCAATTGCGGGCTGAATATGCAAGTTAAATGGCTGATTTGCGATCGGGATAGCTAAAATAACGGGTTATTTGGCAAACTTGAGCTGATGAAGCCAGGCCTAATGGTGATACAATCTAAACAGAGTTTCTATAGGTAATACGATCAGAATATTGAAATTGCCCTAATTTTAATTTCTTTGAAGTCATTTCAATTCTTAGGATTTGTATTGTTGTTGTGTTATTGATATAGGTATTTTTTTGTTCCTTTGTTTTTAAATCCTCTCTTTACTGTTAGGAGCACCAACAATTTAATGGCAGAATCTCACTTAAATTTGTTTCATAATGTGACAGAGGATGTCATTTAAGACACATTTCTGCAAGGATTTTCAAAACAAATGTGTTTGAAGTCAAATATTGATGAAAGAATACAAAATGTATGTTTTCTGCAAGGTGGCAGACTTGTCAGATCCATTCATTTGTTAAAAAAACTCTGGGGGAAAGATCCACTAGAGACTCAGTTAAAATGCTTTAGACAGATTATATGTACATGTTTATTGTGAAAAAGAAAGTCTTGAAATGATACATCATGTTACAGGCTTGATCAGGTTCTTTTTTTCATTTTTGCCCTACCCCCCCCCCCCCCGTTTTTTTTTGTGTGTGCGCCCCATTGGTGTTATTTGTTGTGCCCCTTGCCTTTTATTCGTTTTTGTGCACCTTGTGTTTGTTTGTTTTTGTTTTTCTCCTTCAAAACAAGCTTAATCACTATCTGATTTTTATGACAATATGACATTAATGATTAGTGTATGGTCATACTCATTAATAACCTAAATATTCATTAATTTCTACTTCTTTCTTTTTCTTTTTCTAAATTAATAATATACCCTCTTTGAGGTACACTAATGAGATAACATAACTCTGATTATGTATTGTTCCCAGCGCGACTTTATATTCTTACTACAAAAATGCAATTACGGTGTAGAAATTGCTCAATTAACTTGGTAATGAACATTTTTTTTTATTTAAGCAGAAGATTAATAAAACAAGAATAATATGCACATGTACAAGCATAATAAACTCATTACAACCTCATTAGTTGTACTACATGTACATGTTTGTCGTAACATGTGTTTTAGAGTTTAGACTAAATAAATTGTAAGCCCAATGAACAATTACATGTAGATGACCAAGAAAAAAAAAGGGCAGTATTTCAGAGAATCCAATTTTGCATGTAATTGTTGTCACTTAAATCTTCTGTTTTTTTGTTTACAAACAAACATAAAGAAAATTAAGAGACAAATTAACTTAAGTATTGTTACTCTATATTAGAACTATAATAAAATAAGAATGACTGTGATGCAAAATCACAAATTTGAGGGATTGTTCATTTTCTTTGAGATGCAAAAACTACAAAAGAAAAAATAATTGGTAAACCAGTCAGGATTATTTTTCCTGCATTCTTTCACTAATGAATAGGACATACAGTGTAGAAAAAGAAAAGATGATTAGATGTAAGTACCAACTATTATTCTCACTAATTACATGTACATGAACGTATTACAATTAAGAATGTTTCAGTTGACAGACAAGGCTAGTGCTGTCAAACCTGATCTCTCTTTATAATAATAATCATTGCTTAGTAATCAGGTGCAATGCTTCGTATTAAAATTAGTTTACAAAATTTGCTGATGGCGAAAAATGATGGATGTATTAGGTAAAAGTGTAATAATGTGATGTGACGTCAATTCCCCCCTTTCTACAGTGTATATGATTTTTTATTTCTAGGATGAATAAAGAGGTTTTTCAGGCAGTAAAATTGCCTCTTCAATCTCAACTTAATCATTTATGAAGCAGGAAATGAACCCCATCAATGAATCCATTTTGGTGTGATAGATCTTTTCATGGTTTAAGTCTGACTTGGTTTCCATGCAAGAGATTTTTATGTTATCCTTTTATTTTCTTTGCATTATGTAAATTGTAACCCATAAAATGATTAGTAATTTATTTGTAATGTTGATGTTCAATTCTAGCTAGTAGCTACACACAAAGTTTTTTTTGTGAAGATATCCTTATCCTTTTGCTATTTGTCATTTATAAACTTAGGAAATAGTTTATGTAACTCTGAAACATTCTTATTTCGCAACAGACTTAACTCAGTTTCGTTGACAATCAGCCATGCATGAAGTCTTTCATCTACGGCTGATTGTCAACGAAACAGAGTTATGTCTTTTGTCAACTCTGTTTGCTGCTACGGCAGGCGGGCAGTGAAAACGACTTCGTTTGATAAAATTATGGAAATGCAAGCACTACTTTAAACAGACAGAACTTTGTCATTCCTTGCTCATTTTTCCTGATTGAGGTGTCATGTGAAAGGGCAGAAACTCAACTTTCTAGAAATGTGATTTTCTTCTTGACATTCAGATACTGTCCGCCAAATGACTTTTTGGTTTCCTCTCTTCAAATTCATTTTCATCACTCATGCGTGACATATGCACTATATGAGTTGCATCAAATGAAAGAGGAGGATCTAAACTTTCCAAACATATGTCATTTATCAATTATAATTGTGACTAAGTTATGATAAAACATTGATAATTCTTGATTTCGTTTTTTTCTGGGACGCACTGTATATTCAAGCTTTTTTATTTGCTTTTGAGAGAAAAAATACCCCCTAGCCATTCAGGAAAGAGTATACAAGAAGAAAAATTTTGAAGTAAAAGAGAATGTTCTTCTGGCAACATTAAGATATAATTTCATTCTCAGTGGAACAAAATCAGCTGGATGAAAGGATGTTTTTCCATAGAATTTGTATTCTCTAAGGTGTTAAAATGGAAAAGATAGTTAAGTTTTAGTTCATTTGATGCAGGTTTCTGTCACACAAGAAAGAATTGAAATGAAATCTTGATTGCTGAGAGTAGTGAGAGTGACATAGCTGTTAACATCTCTGTCATACCCCTAGGATAAACCATCCTTCAAGATGATTTTCTCTGAATTATAAATCGTAGAGTGCAGGTTTTTTGAGAAAAAGGTTCACCACTGAAAAACAGTTTCCCCGACCTTTTTAAAAAGGTCCTTTCCTCCTTTATAAAGCAATAAAGCTTTGTTCATACATGTTGGGTTAACTATCTAAAAATGTCAGTGTTCAATGAAACAAAATCAGCTGGATGGAGTCGTTTTTCCCTGTAGAATTTACATCTTTATTAATAGTTGATAAAAATTGAAAATAGAACAGTCCATCGTTCTTTTTGCACAAGAAAATAAAATAGGACAGTGCTGTACTTAAAGATAACTTTCTGTCAATTATGAAATTTTATATACCGGTAGTTTATTTGCAAAATGGTTTGTAACTGACAAACATTTGATATACCGGTAGTTTATTTGCAAAATGGTTTGTAACTGACAAACAGTTCTCAAACCTTAAAAAAAACTTAAGCCTTGTTTTTATACATGTTGGATATGTTACCTACCAGCTATTCCCCATTCATTTTTATAAAAAAGGTTAATGCTTCCCTTTTGAATATCTCTAAAGCCATATTCACACATGCTGGGTAAAGTGCCTAAAACAAACAAACAAACAACAAAACATGGTCCTATAATACATGTAGGTCAATAACTTACATATGAACTCGATCAATGTTTTAAAAACATGTTATTATACTAATTACTGTTGAAAGTTGGACAATAATTGCAATTTTTGAAAAGAAATGCTCAAGGCAAAATTAATATCAGTGGGTCATCTTCACATGATTGTACCATTGGCAGCCTTTTAAAAAAAGGCTCTTGTGTTTGACTCAAGTATACTAGGCCATTTATGACTGTATATCATATCTTTTTGAAGTAATGATATACATTTTTGAAAATATATTTCTGTGGGGAGATTCATGGACAGATTCATGGACAGTAAACAGCCACAGAAATATACCTAAATAGGAAGTCAGGTTTATGAAAAGAAAGAACAGGCAAAGAATAATGTCAGTCATAGTCTTTGCAGAATGGTTCACTAAAATATCAGAATGTCCAAACATTTCCTCAAGGACAAATACAGACTGTTTGAATGGATGAAAAGAGCTATGCTTTAAATAAAAATGTCCTTACTCCAGGCAATCGGTGAAAGAGAAGAGCCATTATCGGTCAATATTTTAGCTATTCCCACGGTGGGAGTGTTGCCCATTGTGTTGTCTATCAAGGATACATTATTCAAAGAACTTTACCAATTTTAGTTTTTCACACCTGCAGGCATATTTTGGGAAGGATAACCTTAATTGCTGTGAACTACATTGCTGACTTATCAGTTATAGAACTTTATCACATTTTGTATCCACCTGTAGGTGATTCATACAATGGATGAGCGTTAAACAATCGCTTTTGACTCTTCCCTCGTGGGACGTGCTGTCCCATTCAATCCCAACCATGGATACATGATTCTTGTGAATTTGACAAAATTTTGTTTTTCCCCCTGCAGGCTATTTGCTTGAAAGATGAACCGTTAACGGTTGAGTTGACCCTACCTACCGGCGAGAGTGTCGTGAGACTGATGCTGAGTAATGGGCTTGTGGAGTTTCTCGCGGACTGCGACGACTTGGATGAAGGGGGACTGGATGACGCAAGCACCATCACAGACGGGACGTCCACACCAGCGTTCAGTCGAGCCATAAGTGAAGTAAGTCGAGGCGTATGGAAGATGCTTGAAGAAACCAATCACCAAATTGGCTCATTTCATTTCTTTCATCCTACTTCTTTTTTTAGTCTGAGTATTAATCTGTAAAGAGAGCAAAGGTAATTCGTATAAAATGATCACTATATTGTTTTTTGTAATATGTTCATCTTTCAATTGTCAATGAACTGCATTTAAATATTGGGTTATGTAGATGGTTTAGGCAGAAGCTTTCAACTGCAGAGATTGAGAAATATTTGTGGTCAAGATAAAGTATCACTGAAGAACTAAGATGTTAAATAACCATTTAAAGCGGATGTCCACCATTTACGATGCTTTTGATAAAGGCAGAAAAATAGGAGAAACAAATTAGCTTAATTTTGAGCAAAATCCTATAAAAAAATTGGAAAGTTATGAAATTTTAAAGTTGTCATTAGTAAAACACAACTTGGCAACACTGACGTATCGTGCAAGCTCCTCTTCAGTCTGCTCTATACTGAAAATGTCATAAAATTTCATTTACTTTTGTTGTTGACAAAGGAATAGATTTGTATCAAATGGGTTGTATCAAAACATATGTGTGATAACTATATTTAGGGTGAGTGTACGATTGAAAAAAAATTTAAGAGAAAGTATTGATTTTAAAAGTTTTTTAGTACAGGACAATTGGGAGGGGAGCTTGCAGGATACGTCAAAGAGTTGCCAATTTGTGTTGATTGACTGCACCTTAAAATATTCAAAACTTTCTTTATTTTCAATCGATTTTGCTGACCTGTTTCTCCCATTTTCTGCTTCTTTTAAACTAATTTAATATTAGGGGGACTTCCCCCTTTTAACGGGCTGAAGAGTGACCACTTTTTCTGACATTTTTAAAATTGGTCACTATTTGGCCCTTTTGAATACCGGTAGTGATGTACATGTACATGTAACATTTTAGTTTTTGCTGTATGAAACCTTTATTTCCTTCTTGACATACATTACATCTTAGAACAGGTGAGAAAATTTCTATGGTACATGTATGTCATCTCTACCCCTAATGTTTAATTTACTCTAATTTGTATGCAATTAATAATGTTCTAGATTATGGGCATACTATTCTTGCACTATTATTGTTTTAATATCTCCAATCATGTATCACCCGTTAATGTACTTCTTTCTCCCTTCCAAGAATTTACAGATTAAAAAGCCTCTTTAAAAATTGCTATGAGGGTATTAAAGGGTTACCCCCAAATTTGTGTGATTACAACGAAAACCAATCTTCACAATGGTTGAAAGTCAATAATATCGCTTTTCTTGATGTATCATCTTTGGGCCATCCCAAGTTTGTCTGATTACAAAGAAAAGCAATCTTCATGGTTAAAAGTCTTTGATACTTGATGCATCATCTTAAAGATAATCTTGAGTTCTGGTATGGGAATCGTGTTTTGAGAAAAAATTGCTACAGTTTATTCGGGATTGTTTATCCTGCAGTAGATTGGTTGTTTGAACCAGTGAAATAAAAATAAACTCACACAAACTTACTGGGCATCAACTTTGATAAAAAACCACAACTCCCATTTATAGTGACCTGTGTTTAATAAGCACATGGTGCCAGGCCTACTTACCCGGATTTCCTTATATTCCTTATATCAGCCACTATACATTTTCTACCAAAGTTGTTTGGTTCATGTTGTTTTTTTGTAATCTTGAACATTAACTTTAGGCTTTGTCGGTACTGTGAGAATTCATTTTCTATTTTTACCAGAACTCAAGTTTATCTTTAAAATGCCATTGTGCGATTAATTACTCTTGTGGGCTGTTGTTCTATTATCGAGCCCCTGCCCATGATTGGAAACCTCCTGAAGGAATTGACACCATCCCAAACCTCCCTTTATAACCTCATCAAGCGAGGTCCATCCATTACCGGAGGCCATCGAAACTTGAGACATGAGGGGCAGAGGAAAGTTTATTTTTGCAGCTGCACTTCCCTGGACAATGTAATGATATAAAACCACATTGTTTCTTGAGAGATAAAACAATGCAATCATATTTCACCCAGATTCTATGTCCCGATTGTGTCACAGCCGCGTGAAAGTTTGCGAAAGCCAAGTTCTTGAAGATTATCGCGAACAGAACATTTTTGTAAATATTCCTGTTAGAAATTATGAGGAATATGTGTGTAGAATGTTACATGTACCTACATGTACATGAAGATTCCATATTCAGATAACTCCAACGTTTCTTACAAGGCTAAGTTCTTGAAGATTATTGCAAAGAAGACATTATTGTTACTATTTCTGTCCCGCGGAGTGGCCCTAAAGCCGTCGGTCCTCTGGTTGCTTACTTACAAGCATTTATGCTTTCTTTAAGCAGTCAGGTAAAATAACCTCCATTAAAAACTAAACTAAACTATTCAACTTTCTATAAACCTGGGGAAGTTTAAATGTTCAAAGTTTTTTTTAATTAATCTGCTTACAGCGTCATCCAGTCAATAAGGTAGATGAAGATGGAGTATCTTTGGTACTCCCGGAGGGCTGTAAGAAGCAGTGATCTATTCCTGTACCAACTACAGATGTTTTCCTCTTGATTAGGGAAGAATCTGCAAAGTTTCCAAAGAGCATCATAACGTTGAGCAACTTATTTTCTTTTAGTTTGAGATTTTTCTTGCTGAGTAGCCAAAAAGATTCCTGAAAGCTTCAAACTACACATACAGTACATGTAGCATCATTAAAGTTGAACAAGTTCCTGTAGATGTATTCAAACTTTTGTGTTTTCTTTTCTTGTTTTCCGTCACGCTTTAATATTTTGCTCATGTTTTACAAATTTTTAACTAACGTCATTAAGTGGATCAAATTCTGCAAAGATTTTGTAATTTTTCAAAAAGCTGATGTATACATGTAGAATCATTCCAAACCTTGTCCTTTTTTTTAAGCTGCTGAGCGGGGTTATATGTTTCAGGTTTTTTAATCATCAGAATCTTGCTTCATCATTAGCCAAAGTGTAATAATTTGAAGCCTTGTGCGTCACCTATTGAAATGCCCGAACATGACTTACATTATTATGTTATCCGGACATGATTTGTATGGGATGTACATTAAAGGTACATGTAAACTTGAAACTGCCCTTCAGTTGATTTTGTTTTGCTTTAAAAAACATTTTTTATTGTGTTAAAAACTCTTCTTTTTTGGTGAAATTTAAAACGTGTTCAATATTTAATGGTTTGTCATCATAATTTGTATTATATGAACTGTAAAAACTAAAAGGAACACATTTTATTAGAAATAATATTGTTTGTAAACTTATTGGAAGCTTATTGTCTTACCAATTCTTCTTGATTTTATTTTTGGATAAAGATTTTTTTCTTCAAATAATTCAATTGGGCTCACAAATGTTATAAATCAGTATTGTCATGTAATTTTAGTGTAAAACTAATACAGGGGAATACTGAAGTGAAAGGCATTGTGAAAGAAACTTGTCTCATGAAATTGACAATTGAAAAGTGACAAATCTAGTGTCCTGATTTTCTTTTTTCTTTTTAAAGGAAACACTGATTTGTTTTCTCAAAATTCCAAAGGGATTCATGAATTTAAAGTTTAATATCAATATATCATGTTACAATAATTGTACAGAAGTAGTTAAACAGCAATGTGATTGAAAATTTGTCTCATGAGATTTAATTTGTGATTCATCAGTTCTGTGCTTGGTTGCAGCATTTACATTAGGTCAACTAATTATTTCTTCATGTATTCTTTGAATATTTCCTGATTTTAGTTTTTAAAACCCCCCAAAAAAAATTCATACATTTCTATTTAAAAGAAGAAAACAAATTTAATATTCATGGAACCTTAATAGAACTATTGGAAATGTGTTTTGATGAAATAGATAATTCTGTTTGTAGCCAGAAGAGCGTTAAACTCATAAAACAGAGTTACATGTAGCACCCTTCTGGATCCAAACAAATGAAAATACCAAGGTGCATTCCATATGGCATTGATTAGAAGTTTGAAAATAACTTTGACTGATATGGGGTTTTTTTACTTTTGCTTTTATGGAAACCAACTTACCGTAACCCACTGCGTACAGCTAGCGGTTGGATCATGTAATAAACCTATTGGATGAAAGAACTGAATATACAACGGGTCAATAGCAGGGTGAATTCTAATGGCAGCATATGGGTTAACCTGTTCTCTCTTTTTTTCCCTTTCTCTATAACAGGATGGAGAAGATGTCACGCATTACAACTCTGAAATCCCTCGCTCCGTCGTTAACGTTCTGCAGGGCGTGGCCGAGACGGAAGAGGTGATGGCGATACCGGGTCACACGTTTAATCCCATCATGCTCCCTGATGTCGGGGTTTACTTCTGGGTCACAGTCAGCCATCTGGATGAACCAGACTTGGTAGGTCATTTAAAATGGTGATAATGGTGGCTTCTCGTATAAAGGCCTGTCTTCGTCAGCTCTAGTTCGCCAAATAACCCAATATTTCGATCGCAAATTAGCCAGTTAATTTGCGTCTTCATCAGCCCGCATTTGCAGTTAGCAGGATATTTGGTCAAGAAAATATCACAAGAAATCTTGGCCTTGTTTCCAAAAAGCAGGCTAATGAGCGTATCGGTCTGGTAAAGACGCAATTTCAAGCTTCGGGATGATATCCTGAGTCTGAAAATAGCGGGTTATTTGGCAAACTTGAGCTGATGATGACAGGCCTACATGTATATAGTGCTTCTGTCCATCACACTATGATACTCCTGGCACTCCAACATTATTACCCCTGTCATAGCCGGGATTCCAAATAGTATATCGTATACCCAGTTACACCTGGATGGAGGGTGGCAGATGTGGATTAATGTCTTGCCTTTTCTCTCTGATTGAAGTTGAGAACATTGTCTGTTTTAAAAAAAAAAATTGTTACTATTTACAATTTTAACTAAGCTTGGGCTTAGATTAGTAAACTGTGAAGTCTTTGTATTTTTCCTCTGTCCATACAGTTTATGTGTTCCAGACTAGAATGTTGTCTGATGAATTAATTAAATAATCATAAAGTAAATGTAAGCTTTAATCTTCAATTTGGCAACTAAATGTATGAAACTTGAAGAGGTGACTTGCCTTGTGAGAATTATAAATGTTTGCTTTACTTGAAGCGTGAGAAATGCAAAACTAGCTTTTACAATTTATCTATGCTTTTGACATTCCTTAGGATTTTAATGGAAAAATGAAACCCAACAAACTTTAGCTGATAACCTGAACAGAAATTGTGAGCCAGTTGAAAATATCTTGAAATTGTTCCTATTTGATTACTATAGCAAGGAAAACAATCTCTCAGAATTTGCAGTTTCCTGCTAGCCATTCTCCCATAGGAATTGCTATTTTTATTAAAATAGTGTTGTCAGAGTAGTACAATTTATGAGATACCCACTGACCTGTATTTTACTAATGTATTTTTAGTTACAATGTAGGACACTTACCTGTGAAATTTATGACACTGGTTTCCTAAGTAGACCTTTTTTGTAATGCATTCAAATGAATGGATATTCTTTCATAAGGTTGCAAGCTATTTGGTTTAAGCTGTTTCAAACAGTTGAGCAGTTTCTTTTGTTAATCAATATTTGGCAAGCGTCATGTCAAACAAATCTTTGGCAATTATTCAAAAGAGTGACAAAAACTTACATCGAACTATCAAACTAACTCGGAGAAACCACCTGTTTGAAAGTTTGGAATAAACAACATGGCTGCTGTTTGCGTCGTTGACTCTAGGTTCATGTACAAAAGCCAGTCATATACAACACACTATTCATCTAATGCTGGTCAGTGGATGTGAACTACTGTGCTTGGACGTCACAATTTAAATCAAAAGGGCAGCTCCAAAGAAACTCAAGACTTTGGAGAGATCGTTCTTTATAATCTTTAAATAATCAAATAGGAGTAAATTCAGGATATTTTTAACTGGCTCAAAAAATTTTATAAGGCTATCAGTTATTCTAAGTATGTTAGGTTTTCATTTTCTTTTTATAGCCAAGGCATTTTTTATTAGATTTTTGGTTCACGAATGGATTTAAATCCAGACAGATTTTCTCTTTTTCTTTTTTCATCCAACAAAATGGTAATGATAAACTATATGCTGATTTATCCCTAGAATTCTAAACAAGGCTTAAAAGCACCAAACCCCTTAACACTCTAATACATTATGTTTTACAGTTAACAAACTTAGAATTCCGGAGGGAAAGCTATAAAGATATCATTATTGTTTTGTTATGCCCTACACATACCTAGAACTAAGCATTCATTATCGATTTGAATCACAAGTCTCTTGATTTGAATTCAATATTTTATCATCCCTGCTCCAGCTGTACATCCAGTACACCCAAACTTCCATGGACGATCCTGACCCCACCATCGCCCTCGCTGCACAACAAGCTTTCAGTTCAGAGGCCCTCGTCGCCCAGCTAGCCAGTATGGCCCCTAACCTTCCTTTCCTACTCAACCCACAACCGGGTAAGGATCGGTTTCACAAATGTATAAACCCTGGAAAAGTTTTATACTTTTATGATTTAAAGCAAACCTGAAAATCATTTCCCCTCGAAAAAAAAAAAATAGGGGGCATTTAAAAAAATACCAAGTTTGATTTTTTTTTCAAGTATAGAAGTAGTGATTGTTGCAACTTACGTAATGAAAAAACAGTGTGCTTTTCAGGAATTTGTCTTAGCCTTGATTTTTGTGACTTATACCATGGCCAGTATTTTCCTTGCCAAAAATTAAGGCATTTAATAAGGCACAACATAAACACTTCACAGCCCTAAGATAGCCGCAGAATCATTAATTATTCGATTATAAACCCCCATAGCAAACACATGATACTGTGAGAGTGGTCAACAGTCCTTGAGTATTTTGTATTTGATTTCACCTTAATCTTATCAAAGCAAAGTTTTACTGTTGCTCGCCCTTGTTTTTCACTGCCCCCTCGGTAGACAATCTATCATTCACGAACTCCTGTTTTTCTGTGGCACGTCGCCATCACGAGAGACATGCATGCACGTTTTAATAAACATACTAAAAGAAAAGGTTGAGTTCTGGGAAGAGGTAAACTATAATTTGGGAGCGTTATCATTGTTATGCAAGTGTGGAAGAACATCAGATAAAGCATGTTCCCTGAAAAGCATGGCTCTTCAAATGCCTTCATATTCTAAATATGGCATGTAACATCGGAAAAACTTGGGGGTAGGATTTTTACGCCACATGTTCGTGTAGTCCCATATACATCTTCCGGTGTACAGTGCTTGTAACTTTACCAAGACTGGTCCAAATTTCTTATCATTTTGATGATTCCAGAACCTTGCAATACACACAAATTCTTTATATGCTAGATGATCAACCTTTTCTGATCGATTCCACAACGTTTCTTTCACAATGCTATCGCATGACCGGAACTCGATTTCATCTTTAAAGACGCGCGTCTGCACATCATCCCAGCTATTCTGGTGTCGATCCGTTCCATCCACAGAAAGCTACCGCTGGAGGCACAGATTAGTGGTTTTAGAGGTGTGCTGGCAGAAGAGGAAAAATACATTTCATTTGTCTACCTTCCTCAAACATGATACACGAGTACAGTTAACAACTAAATTATTCATACCCTTACCAATTTTTGTAATTTTTTAAGTATGTGAAAAATTGATATGTCCCAATTTATGTTTCTTGGAAATATGACATATTAAGCATACATTTAAACGTATTCAACAGAGGTCTTAGGGCGCGTTCATGCTTGATTTTGAAGGCAGAATGAGCGATTTGTAACGCTCATCGTAAACGCTCATCGTAATCGCAGTTCCACGGTGCAGTGTTCATGCTCACTTCTCCAGGCAATTCTCCTTGGGTGGCCTTCAGCTGGATTCGCAAACCTGTGTGCGCATGCTACGTTGACCTACTAGAGGTCAGTGCGTTGACCCCATTTAAACGCGTTTACAAATTGTAAACGCATCTTTTTGTGAGTTTACGATCGGCGATCGTGATCGCCGTTTTTCGGTGATTCTACAAAAGTGAGCTAAGACGCAACCGTGTTTTAAACTAAACGCGTAACAGATGCCTGATTCTGGCCGTCAAAATCAAGCATGAACGCGCCCTTAGTTCAACCAGTCCATCTTTCATTCTTGAGTTACAAAACAAAAAAACAAAAAACAAAAAAATCAAATTTACAAGGGGTATGGATAATTTAGTCGTTAACTGTACATGTAAACAAACTTCATGTCCTTTCTTTAAGTTCTTTCTTTAAGTCCTACCCAGACATGATGTATAAAAAGGATATTTGAATTAAATTTGTAAGGATATCTTTCACCTCTTGAATACTAAGCCAATGATAACTCGGCTGGGAATCTTGGTTACGGAGCACATATCAAAGAATCTTGATTCTATGGAAAATTTTTGTGATACAAAAAATGAAATCATATTCATTGGTTTGAAAGTGCACATACTTCAAAAATAACAAACATTGGTAAGGGTATGAATAATTTAGTTGTTAGCTGTACTTGTTTGCTTAAATTAAAGCTAACGTCATAACTAGAAGACAATTTTTGAAGAAATTTCCAACCATTGTGGTCACCTATCTTGTTATCCATTATTTTGTTAACTGGCTTTTATCATGTATAATATGTCTAAGCCATTGCCAACGGGTACCGGGTGGTTCCTGTACATTAAAGGTAAAGACCAGTTATGGTCATGCGATTGCATTGTGAAAGAAACGTTGTGGAATCGATCAGAAAAGGTTGGTCATCTAGCATCTAGCGTCTGCAAGGTTCTGGAATCATCAAAATGATAAGAAATTTGGCCCATTCTTCGTAAAGTTACAAGCACTATACACAGAAAGATGTATATGGGACTACCCTATATCTCTCACAGACCATGAGAGATACAAATTTACCAAATTTATGAATTAGTAGGCGGTTTCCCGGCAAATTTGTTATCATCATCTATTAGTCAAAACATATTCTTTCACATGATTGGTAATGAGAGCTTCCATTTCATTTTTGAAATTGGGGCGTTTCCAATACTGGTATTTACCTTTAAGCCTATAGGAATGAGAGAATTCAGTACCCAACGGTCTTAAAACTATCCTTATACAATACGTCACCATCACCAAAGATTTACAGGCCTGTATTTTCCATTTTAAGTAGTTCATGAACTTCTATGATCCTATTGTGTGTCTCGGGAGCATTACAAAGCTCAAAATGTTTTCCAATTTTTTACCGGAGTGGCCTCGAAAGAACGTCACTATTAAATACCCTTGGTTTTAATACTGTGTCTGGTCAAAGCTACCCTAAGGCTCTGGACGAACGGTGGTTCGTCTCAATAACACATTGCTGCACATGTAGCAATCATGTGCCTTGCGCATGCTTCCAAGAGCTGACCAAGTAACCAGCTATTTCGGAAGGGAAAGAAGAGATATCTAGAAATGAAAGGAGGGGGGGGGGGGGGGGTAGTGATTATAAGTACTTTTACAATTCATAAATTTTAGTTGACTTTGATTCATATGGTATCGAGATACAGAGCTCCCAACCATTACGTTTGGCCGGAATTACTCCGTTTTTTCCTCCAAATTACAGTATTGGGCAGGTCCAAGCTATTTAGATTGTGACGTACGGGACATTTAGAGACTTTAAACAAGAAATAACAACAGATGAAATTATTTATATGGCTATCTTTTGGTATGAGTCTGTGGCTATTATGGGCTAGTTCATTTGTGGAAAGTTTTAGTACTGACCAATTTTTTAATTAATTTTAAATGTAATTAATGTGCTGCGTGACGTACGGGACGCTGTGGTCCCGTACGTCACGCAGCACATTAATTACATTTAAAATTAATTAAAAAATTGGTCAGTACTAAAACTTTCCACAAATGAACTAGCCCATAATAGCCACAGACTCATACCAAAAGATAGCCATATAAATAATTTCATCTGTTGTTATTTCTTGTTTAAAGTCTCTAAATGTCCCGTACGTCACAATCCAAATAGCTTGGACCTGCCCTATTACGTTTTTTCTTCATAAAATATTTTTTAATTTTTTTTTTTTTTACATACCGCACGTCAAACAACTGCCCTAAAATGGTGATTTGATCACAAATTCATTAGAAAACTAAATTTAAAACATACTTGAAAAGAAAAATATTCTCAAAAAGAATGAAATGTTGATAATACCAAAATAACCACCAAACAAAATTCCTGCTTGTATGGAAAAAACAGCATGAGGAATGAACATTTCTGCATTGGAAGTGTGTCGCGCGTGGTTGTAAGTTTCGTTTTTATGAATTCCTTTTTTTTGCTTGAAATTCCTTTTTTTGACCATCATGATTCCTTTTTTTGGTCGCACAAGGTTGGCAGCTCTGGAGATACGAAAGGTACATGTAAGTAGGATTTTATTCAAAGTAGAAAAAATCAGTAGAAATTTATGGCTCTTTTTCTTGCTTTCTTTCTTTCTTTCTTTCTTTTTTCATTCTTTCTTTCTTTCTTCTTTTCCTTCTCCCTTCCTTCCTTTTCTGTAATCTCTAGGTTTTTGTTTTGTTATACTTATTGCTATGTACAGTGTATTTGTATAGATCAAAGTCTCAAGTGTGATTCCTCCATAATTTAACCACTTTTTAAATGAATTCAATTCACAAAACATGAATGATCTCAAGTGTTGAAATGTGCTTGCACATGTACCTGTACGTGTAATGCATTGTACATGTATATGTTGCTGTAATGCTGATTGTCTTCGACTTTTCCTCAAGTCAAATTCTTATCAATTAGTAATTCGTAAAATGATGAATGGCGGGGTATCAGAGGGATGACAGCTACAAGAATCATCAAAAAAAGAATAATCGCTGGCTCTTTTCATTCATTTATTCGTTAGTATACATCTACAGGGAAAATAAGGCTTCTGCGGTACATTATCAGATTACTGTGGCTTTCCCTGCTATAGGCTTTAATACTGCAAGTTACTTCGTGAAGAATCCTTCATGTATCATTAATCAAATCATTGCCTTGTTATTTGTTTTCATGGTAAACTACACGGACATAACATAGGTTGTTTTATTTAGGTGCATAATTCCAAAACCTCTGTAGCAGGACAGGAGATACTATGTGCTATACGAGATCAGAATATTATTATTAATTTATTATTGCATTTAATTTGAAAAGGTATGCAACTCAGTTCGTTGTTACCATCATTAGAACTTGTAAACGAAGCTATATCGTGTGATTTTATCCCCGTAACTCTTGAAATGGCCCTTATGTCCCTGCTCAATTTCTGGTCAAAATGTAAAAAGAGACCTCTAGGAGTAAAATAAAAAGGGAGAGGGGGTGGAGGGGATTGCTTAAGATGCCATTTATATTACAGATACTGATACATATTGACAGTCAACCTGTCTATAAAGGCCACCCAGTAAGTGCCCAAACAGTGTTTTTTCTACTAGAGTAACCAATACTGATGACCCTTAATGGACTATTCAATGTACATTTACATGTTGCTGTGTATGTTGTACATGTATGTATGTTTTATTCAGCATTTCTGAAGCCTATAACCCCGAGGTACAGCAGATACAAGGAGTATAGCCAAATTGGTGTAATATTCTACAATGTCGTTGTTCTAATAGAGAGTCTACATGTAGTAGTCTTCATAACCAAATTGATTATAAATTTAGGTTTTGGGCCCGTACTATGACAGGTTTGAGCGTACACCCCCTCCACAGCTGAAAGAGCACCAAATTAACCCCGCCTTTTCAGGTTTAAAGGGATTAAAGTCTAAAGATGATAATTGTGTGTTATGATATTCTTTTTTCCAGATATGCCATGTTGTGCCCAGTACAGTGTGGATGAGAGGTGGTATAGAGCTGAAATAACTGAGGTGGTCAGGAAAGATATTATCATGTGTCACGTTAGGTTCATTGACTATGGCACGGTGGAATGGCTGTCATTAAACAGGTACGTCTACCTTTCTTGATTTGTTTGTTTGTTTGTGTGTTTTAGTCTGTGTTGTCTCAACTAGAGAGTATATTCTGTTTCATTAATCTCTTGTTTCATCCCATTCCTCATACTGTATGTCAGGGATGCCAGTTTTCAGGCAATAGCCTAAATTCAGGCCCTGGCAAGTTATTTTGAGACCATAGTTAAGGCTTTTATGTGTACAAAATAGCTCATTCCAGGTGATTTTCAGGCCCTCTGATCAATTCTAAGTGGCATACCTGACTTCTGTATCTTTCTTTTTGTCATCTCCGTTTATTTTCCTTCCCATTCTCACATCTTTCACCTCTTTCTTAAATTTGTCGTTTTTATTTGCTCCCCCCCCCCCTCGCCCTCTCTCCCTGACATTTTTCTCAGTCTCTCCTTTTTTCTGTCACCCTCTGTATGTTTGCCGCCTTCATATTTTTGCCTGTGATTATCATTTTCCTGCTCTTCACTTTTTGTTTTCCAGTACTATTGGGACCGAATGAGTTTGATGATTTTGTGATTTCGTCTCTTTTCAATTATTTTTAAAATCTTGCATTCGAGCTCACTTATACATGTATGAGGTCATCATGAGAACTTGTTTTTGTTTGGTGATATAAAAGCATCAGTCATTTGTGTCATCAATTTTGTAACCTGTAACAGGCCTGATAAAAACCCGATTTTTTTTTATTTTTCCCGATTTTTTCCCGATTTTTTTTTTCTTCCCGATTTAAAAAAAAAAAAAAAAAAAAAAAAAAAAAAATCATTTTTTTTTTTTTTTTTTTTTTCACCAATTTTTTTTTCCTTCCCTATTTTATCCTGATTTTCCCGATTTCCCTCTTATTGTCTCTATTCTTCCCTATTTTTCCCCCAATTTTCCCCCCAATTTTCCCAAGTTTGTCTCAATTTTCTTACTCGAAAGGGGGGAATGTTGTTAGATGCCATTTTTTCCCCACGAATCGTCTTTTTTTTTATTTACTCAAGGGGGGCGTGGTTGAGGGGAAAACAAAAAACCTATTTTTTTTTTAGTGCTCACTATGTAATCTTTTATTGTAATGCTCTTTTTGATCTTAGAAATGAGGACAGAATGCTCGAAAATAGATCAAATAAAATAAACTAAAGTATGATATTTGAGGCAATAGATTACCAGGGCATATATGTAAGATTATCACTTTATCTGTCCTGCTTTATTCTGTCTTCTGGCATGTCCATTAACAGACATCAAGAGATGAATTTGACCTAGTTTTACCCCATCTTTTCTGATGAAAAATGAATAATCCTCTTTATCCAGTATATGACTGACTATCCATGTATATAATACATGTACATGCACATGTACTTCCAAAAGTAGATTGGTCAACCTACGCAAGAAATTAGCATTTAAATAGGAATGAAATTAGATGTGGCATTTTTGCTTTTCTCCTGAAAAATATGATTTGTTGACCTGTGTGTTTTCAAAATCTCAAAATAACTATATAAACTAATGCTAAGAAAAGTCGGGGTAAACAGTATGAGGATTTATAATTTACCAAACTATACTTTTTCTTCTTTCAGTGAAATCTTTAACACTGAAAAGGTCATCAAATGAGTGTAATCAGGAGTAAATAGACACAGTAGATTTTTTTTTTTTTTTTTTTCGGGGGGGGGAGGGTTTAGAAAAACAATCTTTGGGGAAAGATTATAGTTTTCTCTCATGCAATATTCATTCAAATTTGGTAATCTCTCAGGAAAAATTTTGAACCATGAAGGAAATTCTTGTAGAGTTTTTCTGCCGCCTTAGAACTCCTGTAATATTATTTAATATATAAAAGATGCTTTGGAATTGAAAAAAAGGAGGCATTTTAAGATCGTTTAGTCGTAACATTTCAGATTTCTGCAGCCCTGCTTTTCTTTCTACTATTTGTTTTGAATGTAGAATGTTTCTGTAAATTGGAGTACATTGCATCCACCTCCTTCCTCTAATCATTTATAGATCAATTGGTTTATCCCATTTGATTAAAGCTAATCTTGAGCTCTGGTATGGGAATCATATGTCGAGAGAACATAGTTATAATTCATTCTGGATTGTTTATCCTGCAGTAGATTGATTGTTTAAATCAGTAAAACAAAAACAAACTCACAAAAACTTGCTGGAATCATCTTCAATAAAAACCACTTCCTTATTTGTCTATGCTCATTAATCAGCCCCTATGCATTTTCTACCAAAGTCGTTTGGAAGATGTCATTTATTTGTAATCCTGAACATTCAGGTAATATTTTTTAACATAATAAGATCATGCTTGTACTTACCTGTAGCATGAATCAGAGAGCTTAAAGTAAATAGATATCAGAAATATCAGAGGAAATACTTGAAGGAAATGGATCAAAAGAAACATTGTAGAAGAAAGAGGGGAGAGAAAGGGAAATAAAGGGAGAGAGAGAGAGAGAGAGAGATGGACAGAGAGATGCATGTAGATAAACAAAGAGGGAAAGAGAGACGGAGGTGGCGAAGGGGGAGAGAGAGAAATTGGGAGGGATAGAGGTAAAGAGAGGGAGAGATACAGACAAGTCCAGGTTATAAACTGAGAGAGAAAGAGGAGATATATATACCAGGGGGAGAGACAGACAAGGAGAGAGAAAAGAGAGAGAGAGAGGAGATATATATACCAGGGGGAGAGACAGACAAGGAGAGAGAAAAGAGAGAGAAAGAGGAGATATATATATATATATATACCAGGGGGAGAGACAGACAAGGAGAGAGAAAAGAGAGAGAAAAGAGAGAGAGAGAGAGAGAGAGAGTTTGTGGTTGTCTTTGATTAAACTTGAGGCACTGTATAAATCATTTCCTGTTCTTTTCAAAGCTCTTGATATTTCTAAAGATTTCTCTTTGATTAGTTGAAATCCAACTGCTCCTCTGTGGTTTATCCTTGGCTACTTATTACTTCAGGGACTTCCCCCAAAGCAATGTTTTTTGTTATCTGAGAGAACATCAACTAACCTCTCAAATGTTATTTGAGGTAACTTTCCCATCAGATGGTTAGATTCTTGGTTCACTTTACATGTTCATTGTATAATTGCATTGAATATTTTTTTAGATTGCAGTGAGGTTTGTTTTTTTAATTGTCATAAGTTAGGTCTTTTTACCTTAGTTTCCTTTCTGTTGTGAAATGCTGTTTTTGTTCTTAAAAAAAAGAAAATTAATTACCATAAGAAAAATAGTACATTAATTTTTTCTCCTACAGAACTAGAATGAATTGCTGAATTTTCGCAAATGGGTGTCATACTGAACAAATCAAAGAGTGCAAAAAGAGTTTCCATAAATGCCAGTACAAATTTGTTCTGGGTTTAATGGTAATTTTTTCGCCCAAAATAAAATTGCCCTAATTGAAGAAAAAATGGATAAAATGGTAATTGTTTCCATTCCTCCTTGTTTCTATCCTATTGATAGGCCTATCATATTCCCTTGTAGTATTACACTTTCTCTAAAATCCACTCTATCCACCTAGTATTTTGTCTTTTCTAATGGCAGCCTTAATTCTTGTCTCCTTATTTTCCTAACATTTAAAAAACAATCGCAACTTCCAACTTCTTATTTAAGTGAATTTCCCCATGCACCCCCACTGAAAAATGGTTAGAAACAGTCACTAATTTAAGATCAGATCTTCCAAGCATGTAGGGCTGATTTGAAGACATCATTAAGAAAAAATTGGCCCAGCTAGCTGTGACCCAAGAGTTTTTCAGCGCGCTGCGACCAGAGTGTTGGGTAGTAGTCAAAGAGAGTAATTTATCAGCAATAGTGATCGGAGAGAAGAGATTTATAACTACATGTACTCTGGAGACAGATCATTACACATCTTACTGAAGTTCATCATGGAAGGGAATTTCCCTTACCAACAAAAAAATGACTTGTAACAGCGAATTTGAAAAAAGAAAAGTAAAAGGAAATCTTAATCCACCTGTGCAGAAAAGATCACCAGTGATTTCTTTTTCCAACCAAGGAATTCACATGCTTCAAGCTAGGATTTCCTGTTTACTTTCGATTCCTCCTGAGAAAATGTTGTCTCGACTGTTAAAAGTTTCAGTTTTAGGTCAGGAGGCATGTTTTTTTTTCATCTTCTGCAGAAGACTCAAAGACATTTCCTTGGGTTGTATTTCACTATGTTTTTCTCATGTTGTTTAATCATTGAACTTGAATGTTTGAAGTTTGAAATCGCATATTTTTAAAAGTTGATGATTATTGGATTGTGTCAGGAAGTTGGATGTGATTTACTTTCAGGGAATGTTTTTATTTGCGCTCTTCTAGTGATGCGTGGAAATGAACTCCTTTTGTGCCTTGGGCAATTATCCTGCACAAGAATGTCTTTGGTGTACTCTAAATCTTGATGTCCAAAGGCTCCTTCATATAGGACTATGTAAACCTTTTTTTTTTAAGGAGTCTTTGTATTTCATACTTAGCTTCACATTCTGTAATTTTGTATGTGCTATGGAACTCTCTGTTTTCAGCACTCCTAAATGATTGATATTATTACTATTAATCACAACATGCAGGACCTCTGGGCTCATTTTCACTAAACTTGTTATCAATATATTTTATTGGCTGGCTATGAGCGGATTTGTCATAGATCTGTGGCAGTTGCTATTGACTTTAAAAAATATGAAAGTGGACCCTGTTGTGCATAGCCACCCTTTTCTCCCCCCCCCCCCCCCCCCCTCCCCAGCTTGCTATTCATTGCCATGAGAATAAGGAAACTTGGGCTAAAATGCCACAGTTTCCCCGCGCTGTGTGTGAACATGCCAAAATAGCTAGATTGTCATTTTCTGAAAATTGACACAGAAAATGATTTCAAGCTTCAGAGTTTGAATCTTGAACAGTCACTTCCTCTTCCATGTTTGTGAACCTTGTGATGTAGTCTGCATGAAGTATCTTAAAAAGAAACCTACATCAAGTTCGATATTTCAATAACTGAAGGAAGGACATTTTACATCACACCAATCTTTCCTGTTATCTCCCCTTCTTT